GGGGCTCTGTCTGCGGCGCCCGGACGCAGCTGCTGCTGCGCAAAGTCGTGCCAGCCGTCGAACCTGGCTGCGAGTTCTCGTGCGAGAACACTGGCCATCCCATGTGTGATCGTCGGTGTTCTTGCGCTAGAACGCTGACGCGCCCGCTCGGGAAAAAGCCCTCTTGCACAAGTGTTCTTGCGCGCAAAGTCGTGCCAGCCGTCGAACCTGGCTGCGAGTTCTCGTGCGAGAACACTGGCCATCCCATGTGTGATCGTCGGTGTTCTTGCGCTAGAACGCTGACGCGCCCGCTCGGGAAAAAGCCCTCTTGCACAAGTGTTCTTGCACAAGAGGCCAGTGTAGACAGGGACAGGAATTTTTTTGCAGAAGAAAGCCCCGATCACGAAAATGGCCGCCAGAGCTTTCTTGCGCAAGACGCCATTTACACTGGCACAGGATGCTCTTTTGCGCAAAGGCACATGCCAGTGTAGATGCTCTCTTGTGCAAATGCTTTAACGCCAGAACTCTTGTGTTAAAAGTATTTGCGCAAGGGAGTGCCAGTCTAGATGCAGCCCCCGAGTAGAATGACTTAGACCCCTTTCGGGCCATCCTGATGGGGTCACTGAAAGAAGCAGCATTCTCAGCTGTATTCCCATTTATGTGAAGTTGTTGAACTGTTTATATAATGAACTCAGTAAAATGCATCCTAGGCAAATCTCTCTGGCTCCAGGGAAGTCTGGAGACCAAAAGCCAAATTCCCTGTTGATGGAGCCCTATTTTAGCTAGAGTTGATCATTGTCAGTGCTGGGTGTAGCTGAATGGAAGCTGAGCGCTCTGCAGCTTAAGAAAGGACCCGCCCTGTTCAGCACCACTTTAGAAAAGCCAGTGCTGTTCTAGCCACCGTTACTGAAATGGCGCTGAATGCAGTTTGCCCATAGCTACATTCACAGTTAAGCTGTGTCCTGTGTCCATGCCCTGGTCATAGCGTAGACATGGCTCAAGAAGGCTGCAGGCTCTGTGCTTTCTCTCTCGGCTTGGCTGTTTGTGGCACTTGTCTTCCACTGGCTTTGTTTCTTTTTACCACAGTGCTAACACCAGTCTAACTGTGGCAACAGTGTCAGAAGCTTTAAGTGTGGAGGGGCCACCAGCGTTGTTAAGACTTGTCTGCTGGATGTACTGTGAGCAGGCTTGTGTGCGATGGTGTTAAGATGCCACCGGTGCTGTCTACGCTAGGACTTGCAGTGCTGCTACCTCTGGTGGAACGGATCACAAATTGCCACTTGAAAGGGGAGGATACGATCTCCTTGAAAGCACAAATGACGTTAAACAGTAGACCGAGGCCTGAGACAGTGCTTAAGATGCAGGTGTGAGGTGCCCCATGAGGGGTTGCAGGTAGGATGGCCTCTCACCCATTCCTAAAATGCCAGATATTCGGATACTTTCAGAAACAGTGCGCCTGTCCCTAGCTGTGTGACCCTGTCCCGCTAACATAACCTCACCCGCATGGCACATGGGCGGCTTTGCCACGTGGTGGTCATTTCGAAGAGAGCAGTGCCCTGCCTCTGCTGGTGTGAACTTCCACACCCAGTGAGGGCAAGGTCAGGCTGGCCAGGGCAGAGTGGTGTGCTCTCCGTTATGGTGGTGCCCATCTGATACGGATAAAGCCATATCTGGTTTGCCTCAGGCTTGGATGGGGGCCAGGCAGCACAAGAGCAGGACGCGCCAGTCTGAAACGGGATGAGCAGCCTTCCAAGTTGAAGAGCAGAAAAAAAATGCCTTTGTCACTGTGCCGGGTTGCTGAGGCTCACGTCTGACGCCCAGATTAGAATAGACTCCTCAGGTTTTTTTGTCTGACAATAGATTCATTCTCTGATCCCATTCTTAGTACTTCGCCTGTCTTTAAATAGGCACTGCTGATGCTTCATTCGCTGGTGGAAGAGCTCAGTGGCCACATGTATTACATCTCCATGTCTCTCTGAAAGGCAGTGTGGTTTTGTTGTAGCCTGTGAATTCTCGGCCAGGTTTCTGGGGGTGACAGTGGTGTTATTTTTCTTTTTCCGCAATAATAGAAACTGGTTCATTAGGGCGGAGAGTTTTGTGTTGTGTTTGTACAGCCCAGTGGTGTTCTGGTCCAGCACTGCTACCAAAATACAAATTATCCGCCAGAAGAATATCAGTAGGGATCTGAAAAGCTACTAACTATAAAAAGGCACGGAGTCCTATTCTGTATGAAAGAATACAGAGGTGCTGAGGGCTCCATCTCTCTTTATCATGGGTTCATTAGGGCGGAGAGTTTTGTGTTGTGTTTGTACAGCCCAGTGGTGTTCTGGTCCAGCACTGCTACCAAAATACAAATTATCCGCCAGAAGAATATCAGTAGGGATCTGAAAAGCTACTAACTATAAAAAGGCACGGAGTCCTATTCTGTATGAAAGAATACAGAGGTGCTGAGGGCTCCATCTCTCTTTATCATGAGAAACACTGCTGAACACATTGTGAGGGGACGAAGTAGTCAGGAATCTTACTTAATTATTTTGAAATCCCTGCAAAAGTCAGATTCCAGCCCCACCCCACCCCCGGCCATCGGTAGCATCAACCTCTCTGTTCCAAAGAGTGATATTTTCAAAGCTTCTGATATGTTTCTGTTTTAGGTGCTATGTCCAACCAGAACTCAGCATGGTGTGACGTTGCAAATGAATCTGATTTTTATTGTTGTTCCTGGGAAGCAAGCTTTTCACATAGTCATTGTAGCTGCAAAGGTAAAATGAATGTCAGGTTACAAAACTTTGTGTAAACTTTCAGGAGTGTTTTGCTTTGAAGAATAAATGGTGAATTATTAAAGAATTTAATAGGAATCTGTTTCTCTCTGGTGAATTTGTTGCTGGTACTTTATAATATCTTGCCAAGGGTTGATATGAAGAGCGATAATGATTTCTTGTAATATATTTTGTAATTGTTGTATGGTGAAGAATTATTTTGAGTTGGAAATAACTTCTAAATGTTTCCTCTCTAGATTTAACTGCCTCTGACAGTGAAAGTGATCTTCATCCTTACGTTGCTACAAAGGATCAGTGCCATCCACTGGGAGAAGCGAGGGAAAGAAGCAAAAGAACCAATGACGTGACAGACGCTCATCTGGTCTCAGGAAACAGTCAAAGCATCAGCAAAAATAACTCTAGGGAATATCTTCTAGTACAAGGAAATAAATCAGAACGTTCTAGGGGGAGCCCAAAAGGAAAGATTTCCAAATCCACCCTCCCTTCTAGTGTTGCCGGGAATCAGACAGTTGCTCACCAATCGACACGTTCAGCCAGAGTGCTGCAGTCAAAGTCGGCCTTGTCGTCTCGAAAGGATTTGCCTTCCCAAAGTGAGCCCCGTCAGCTCTTCATTACTGAGCAACCAGCCCAGGAGCCAGCCTTTTTCACAATTCAGAAAGCTTACATACTCAACAAGCGACATCGAAAGCACCTGCCTGCTGATTCTCTGCCAACTTCGAAGTGCAATAAAGCGGTGCAAGCTTCTCTTGCTTGTCGGGGGGAGGAGCTTGGTGAATGTATTGTCTGTGAATGCTCAAAACAGTCGTCGTTAAAGGAAGAGAGAGACGGAAAACCATACAAGAAAGCTGCTGTGATTCATACCACTGAACGTATCGCCAGTCGAGATTTATCATCTGGTGAACTGGTGAATGGACATGTGCCTTCTACTTTGGAAGCAGTGACTGACATTCCTGTCAAACGCTATACGTCCAAGCATTGGTGTTTGCCCATTAGTTCCTCAACTCTTGTTATCTCTCTAGCATTGGAAGCAGATTACTCAGTTCCATCTGTTTCATTAGCAGGAGCTGGAACAAAATACAGTAGATCTGCAAGGGCTAGGAAAGTCAGAAGAGATGCAGGTGAACCTGCCTTAGCTTTCAAACTCAAAGAACCAGAGCTTAACCAATATTTTAACAAATTGTGTATTTCTATAGTTCCAAAACCTGCACACTTAGACACTGACACACAAAATCAATTTACGGGGCAGATAGAACGCCAACAAATCCCAGGTCCTGAAGCCAGACAGCCTCTGGAAACCCAGACAGAATCATCTGATTCTGACAGTCCTGGAGCTCAGCTAGAACAAGCATCTTCTATATTTAAACCTCGGTCTGCCAAGCAGGTCTTGGTGTCCTCTGAAGATAGACAGGATACAGTTTGTCCTTCTGCCTCTTACAGTGTTCAAAAATTGCCACACAAAAAAGGGATATCCATTAAAGAGCCCTTTGAAGAGCAGGAACATCAGTTAAAAGTCTCCAGGTCCATCAGACATCCTACTGTGCCTCCCAAACCCAGAGAAGCTCAAAGGGGTCTAAGATTTGTAAGCAAACCCTGCATCTCTTCCAATCTTGACAACACAAAGACTTTGGATATTGAGCCTTTCAGGCAAAAATCTGGTCGCTACAAAACTGTGAAAGAAACAGATAAATTGAGGACTGTGCCCTTATCACAAACCAGGAAGTGTCATTGCAGTCCTCTGTCTAACTTGAGTGTGAACCTGAATCCAAAGCGGCGATATTCTGGCATTGAGAAATCCCGAAGCGCTAGCAGAAAACCTCCCAAAAGAGGTGGTGTGACACACCGATTTTCTGCACAGTCTCTGCTGAGTGATAGAGACAGCCCGGAGGAGACCCCCTACGTCTCTTCTGCCAAAAGAAAAAAGGATTCGAAGATGCAGAGCATTCTGAACTTTTGTTTTGGGTGGCCTGGGGCACAAAGGAAACATGAGAGCGCGCCCTATAAAGGGGAGTTCCCTTCCGCTGCTGCTGATTTCGAACCAAGAGAGAAAGGTCTTTTGAGCCCTCCTTTACCACTGGAAAGGAGGAGTCTGACTGTCCCATTTCTCCAAGATGAAAGAGAGGGGCAAAGTCCCGCAGATGGGACACTGCAGCCTGAAGACAATGTGAGTACCTTGGATTATCCTTATCCTGGGCACGTCAGTAATTTAGTGCAGCCCCCAGAGCAGAGGGGTGTGTTTAAGGCCAGTAATAATGTGCCCTTGGAGACACTGGACTCAGAGTCTGCCCCTGTTGCTTTTGGAGACTCCTTCCTGAAGAAACTGATGTTTTGCAGATGTGGACAGATGCCCCAGCATGGGCTCTTCCCCAATGGAGAGATTTTTCAGGCCGTTACTAAGAAAACCAGAAGCAGTCCTGCTACTGGTCTGGGACCCTGCAAGAGCCAAGACCTCGAGCCTGCAAAAGGGTACTGCTGTAGAGAAACCCCAGAGAACGTGCATGAAACGTACCGGTACAGTAACCAGTCTGCGCTGCCCACTCATTCATCTTTGGAAAACATCCGTAAGCAGGAAGCCACAAGAGGGCACTTCAGGAACACACAGTCTTATTTTGAGAACAGCGTCCCAGCAATGCCGGCGGCAGAGGGGCTGCGGCAGGAAGGGAAGCGAATGGAAATGGGTGAATGTGGGACCACCAGAAGTGACAGAGATGCTACCGCCATGCAGCAAATTTGTGCACATGGCGTGTTTGCTGCAGCACCTGCTGGGGGTGGGGGGAGAGAGAAAACACTGCCGGAGTCCTCCGTATGTCACCCTCGCTGTTGCCCATCCCGCCAGCCTGCTGCTGCCCCAAAACTTGACGCAGCCAGTGACTATTACAGCTGCTTCAAATCACAGCAGAAGGAGCCCGAGAATTACTTGAGCATAGAGAGAGGGTTTGCAGTGGATCCTTGCCGGGGGAACAGGAACCAATGCAAATGTTCGCAAGAACTCCCCCTTCCCTACCTGGAGCAAAGTCTTGTGCATGAGGAAAGTAGAGTTACGCCTGCAAAGAGAAGTGACCACGACCCAATTCAGGTTTGTACCAGCTCAGCATGGCAATGCTAGTGCATTCAGACGCTCAGCGGGATAACATTACAAATCTTATCCGGTGCCCCCAAAAGTCAGAGCATTCCCCCTATACATGCGTCCTACAGCGTGTCTAACTGGCGCAGTCCATCAAAGCCTTATTCTGCTCCAGCTCCCACCAGGAAATGTAAGTCCAGAAGCAACAGAAGTAGGACAAAGATCTGATCCTCGGTAGGGCTCTCCTCTAAGCCTCTCCCCGCTCCCCCTCCCTTGGGATAGGTCCTTCCGGAAACCGACTCGCGACAGTACTCACGGTACACGTCTCAGAGATGAAAAAGTAACTCCTGGCCAATCGCGTGTGAAGGGCACAGCCATCTTCTGCCTTTCCCGGCTGGGGCAGCCCATTGCCGGGAGCGGCCGGGCAGAGTTTCTCTCCTCACTAACGTATTTCTTTTCTTTAGGACTTTCCCCAGAGCTGCTGGGGCTGGCGAAAAGCGGAGGGCCAAGCAGGCTGTCAGGGCAGGTAAAGCTCGGGGTGGCCTGCTGGCGGGAGGGGCGCCGAGTGAAAACCAGGAAGAAGAGCTCCAAGGGGCAGAAGCGATTATTTATCCCAAGACGCAGAGCCTGTCAGACTGACTCTCCAATAAAGCTGAGACAGTGGCATGTGAACGTGAGAGGACAAAGCCCATTCCTACTGATGCATGAAACCAGTTCCCAGCCTCCACAGCCGCCTGTGTAAAATCCCATCCCCTCGCTGCTTCCCTCCTTCGAGCCTCCCTTTGCTAGACTCCCCGGGGCAGCGCCTGTGGTCGCACAGCCCCCCGCACAGGTGCTGCTGCGAGCAGGGGCCTGGGCCCAGGTTCCTTGTGTGCCCAGGAGCTGTCTAGCACAGGGGAAAGGCCCAGCCAGGCCCCGTGTGCTCGTTGCCCAGGGAACAGGCGGATAGCACGCCCCTCCCTGGGGAGAGGACAAGCCACAGATGTCGCCAGGACGGTTTTGTGCCTCCCGTCCCAGAGGAGCTAGGTCCCCGCCCAGGAGAAGCTGCGCGTGCACACACTCTCCTCTCTGGCCAGGGCAGCCACGGGCTGGCCTTTCTGAAGAACTTGTGGGTTCCAGCTGCCAGAGGCCTCACTTCCCCTCAGGGCTGGGGTAAAGCTGGGGAGCAGGGCGGGGCCCAGCAGGGAAGTCGGGGATAACAAAACCCCCTAGTCACAGAGGGGAAAAGTGAACTGTTCCTGCTTGTTCTGACTGGTAACCACTGGCAACCGTCGCTGTGGGGTGTCAGGACTGCTGGCCAGGCTGGGGACCGCTGGAAAGCGTGCTAGCCTGCCCGTACGTCCTCGTGTCGCTGGGGAATAAGTGTACTGGCCCAGGGAGGGAGAACGGTTACGTTGTTCACGGCTTCTGAAGAGTGAGCTAAGTGGCTTTGACACCTTCCGGCTTGCTGGGATATCACTGCACCACCTTCCCCATGTCCACAGAGCCAGTTACCTCGTCATAGAAGGCAACCAGGTTGGCCAGGCAGGACTTGCCCTTGGTGAATCTATGTTGACTGTTCCTAGAACATAAGAACGGTCGTACTGGGTCAGACCAAAGGTCCATCTAGCCCAGTAGCCTGTCTGCCCACGGTGGCCAGCACCAGGTGCCCCAGAGGGGGTGGACTGAAGACAATGATCAAGTGATTTGTCTCCTGCCATCCCTCTCCAGCCTCTGACAGACAGATAACTTTCCTGATCACTTTCCTCTCCTCCAAGTGCTTCCAGATTGATTCTTGAGGATCCCTCCGTGATTTTTCCAGAGACAGGTGAGGCTGACCGGTCCGTAGTTCCCCAGATTCTTCTCTCTCCCTTCTTTAAAGATGGGCACTACATTTGTCTTTCTCCAGTCATAGAATCCTAGAGCTGGAAGAGACATTAGGAGCAGGACCAACCCCAACTCAATCATCCCAGCCAAGGCTGTGTCCAGCCGGGACTTACACACCTCTAAGGATGGAGATTCCACCCCCTCCCTAGGGAACCCAGCCCAGCGCTTCCCCACCCGCCTAGGGAAAGCGTTTTTCCTAATGTCCAACCTAGACCTCCCCCACCGCAACTTGAGACCTTTGCTCCTTGTTCCGTCACCATCCAGGACCTCCCTCAGTGGCCACGAGTTTTCAAAGATAATGGCCAGTGGCTCTGCTATCGCACCCCCGGATGCATTAGATCCAGCCCCATGGATTTGAGTAGGTCCAGCTTTGCTCAATGGCCCTTACCCTGTTCTTTCTCCACCAGGGCTGCCCAGTGTGGCAGTCCAGGAGCTGACCTTATCTGTGAAGTATTGAGTACTTAAGCTTTCCCCATATCATCTGTCACTAGGTTACCTCCCTCATCCAGTAAGGGCCCCACGCCTTCGCTGGCCTCTCTTCTTGCTGACATGCCTGTAGGAACCTTTCTTGTTCCCCCCGCATCCCTCCTCCTATTTATACTCCTCCCTGGTCATCCATCCAGGTTCCCGCTTCTTGGCTTCCCTTTTGGGATTAAGCTCCCCAAGGATTTCACTGCTAAGCCAAGCTGGTCGCCTGTCCTATTTGCTTTTCTTGCTGCGCATCGGGCTGGTTTGTTCATGTGCCTTCAATAAGGCTTCTTTAAAATCCTGCCAGCTCTCCTGGGCTCCTTTCCCCTGCATGTTACATCCCAGGGGATCCTGCCCATCAGTTCCGAGGGAGTCAGGCTGCTCTTCTGAAGTGCAGGGTGTGTGTTCTGCTGCTCTCCTTTCTTCCTTTGGTCGGGGTCCTGAACTCGACCGTCTCCTGATCACTGCTGCCCAGGCTGTCCCCCACCTCTACTTGCCCTGCTAGCTCCTCCCTGTTTGAGCAGCAGGTCAAGCTGCACATGGCCCCTGGTTGGTTCCTTCAGCACTTGTACCAGGAAGTTGTCCCCAAAATCCTCCCAAAACTTCCTGAATTGTCTGTGTCCTGCTGTATTGGTCTCCCAGCAGATGTCGGGATGATTGAAGTCCCCTGAGAGAGCCAGGGCCTGCGATCTGGAATCTTCTGTTAATTGCTTGAAGAAAACCTTGTCTCCCTCATCCACCTGGTGTGGTGGTCCCTAGCAGGCACCCCTGGCTCCAGACTCTCAGAGGGTGGAAGTTTTTTGTCCGCAAAAACATCAAACATGTTTTACACTGCCTGCCTTTTAGTAACGTGGCCGTGTTGCTAAGCACTGTGTAGCGTGGACGTACCTGAGGTCTTCCCAAAGAGCCTCCCCCCCAGCACCGTGCTTGGGAGCAGAGAGTTGTAAATCATGTGAATCAGGCCGTTACTTCTGTCTCCTCCCAGTTCACCACTTTCACGTCCTGCTGCTTGTGATGTCACCGCTCCATCAGCTTCCTGGGGGGCTGCCAGAGACACAGGGTGGCTCAGACCTGAATGCAGTGTAAGACCTTAAACCCCTCGCTTCCAGCCTTCCCTCTCCACCCTAACACCGACAGAGAGGGCCCCGTCTGCCCTCCCCGGGGGAAGTACCTTTGGCTCCTGCAGCGCCCGTCTGAACTGCCCTTGGCCCAGGTCTCATCCAAATGGAAAGCAGCTTTTGCATCGAAAACTCCAGCTGTCCCCCCCCTCCCCCCCCGAGAGCTGAGGCCATTTCCACTCTAATCCTGGGCTGCTGTCAGGGCTCTGCTAATGAATCCAGCCCCTAATCTCCATGACACCCGCGGAGGGCGGCAGAATAGCTCAGGGAAGGTTAAATGATAAACAGATATGGCAGCCATGGCAAGCATTTGGCACGCGTCCGCAGCAAAAGATGAACAACAGCAACTGTGACATTATCTTTGTTTGCTAAAAATAGTGCCCGGCAAAGTGTTATAAACAGCACATTGTGCTGCCTGACCTCTCCTCTGGCTGCTCATCAGCCTCCTGGGCCAGGCTGCGCGGCACTCGGGTGCAGGGTCCCTTTCCCAGGCCACCCCCGGCAGCTCCGTACAACGGCGGCACCACCAGGGAGGGAGCGAGTAGCTGTCACGTGACCCTGCTGGTCTTAACCGCCACCACTTGAAGTGTTAGCGTGAGCTTTGCCACGGCCATGTGCTGCCCCGCAGCACAGACAGACGCCCCCACAGGCACGCACACGGAGCACAAGCATACGAACGAATAGTTCACCAAAGACATTGCCAGGTTCTGCAAAGGCAACCTGTGCGGGAGCTGACAAGCGTCTCCTGCTGGGCTACGCACCTGGCTCCTTCTCTCAGGCAGCGACGCACAGGGCAGAGGATGCATTCCCCAGCCAATAAAGGGAAATGCAGGGACAGAGTTTCACAATGGCCATTTCAGCTCGTGCTGTTATATTCTTGTAGATTAAAGCCGGAGAGATGTGGGCCTCTGTGGAGCTGATAGTAAATTTATTAGCTTGAGCACATAGCTGGAGGGGATGACCTCATGTTTGACACCTGCTAAATAAAGCCAGAACAATTGTGCTATTTTTGCAGGAGAGGTTGCATATCTATCCACAGGGAGCCGGCTCCTTGAGAGGCCCCACACGCAAAAGACAAACAAGCAAAAGCTCCTGCATTCTGAACGCTCCTTTGTGCAAATACCAGCTCGATGGAGGGCATGAAAAGAACCCCATTGTCTCTGGGCGGCATTTCTCCGGGCAGCGTGCTTGGAAGGCCAACGATCCTAAACCCCCAATGCATGCGCCTATTGTTTGAAGTGCAGGACAACAATCGGAGGGTGCTCTGATGAGCTAAAGATAGAACTGCAGCTGGCGCTGTCCATCTCCCAGGAACCGGGACTAAAACAATGGCCAAGTATTGTCTGCATTGCTGGCGCAGCGACATTGGAAACTCTGCCGCCGGAGCAGCTCGAAGATCAATGAAACCTGGGTTATTTCTGAGTGGGTCGTGTCATTTCTTCCCCAAAGTCGTTTCGTTTCCTCAGCCTTTGCCACCAGGCCTGGCGTGTGACATTCACAGGCAGTGAGCACGGGGGCCAAGTATAAACAGCCTGGAGAGAGACTGGGACCAGACCAAACAAGCTTCCTCCCAAGCTGGCCGCCGCCTCGCTTCCCGGGTCAGTGCGGTCCTGGGGCCTGCGTTCCCACAGCAGGGCGCAGCGAGGCACGGGCAGCATGGTCTCAGCCTTTGCCACCAGGCCTGGCGTGTGACATTCACAGGCAGTGAGCACGGGGGCCAAGTATAAACAGCCTGGAGAGAGACTGGGACCAGACCAAACAAGCTTCCTCCCAAGCTGGCCGCCGCCTCGCTTCCCGGGTCAGTGCGGTCCTGGGGCCTGCGTTCCCACAGCAGGGCGCAGCGAGGCACGGGCAGCATGGTCTCT